CCAGTTGACGGTGGCGCGGTTGCGGATGTTCTGGGCGCGGCTGGCGTAGTTGAGGGTGTTGAGGGTCTCGTCGAAGTCCGAGGAGGACGGGCTGACGCAGGCGATCATCACCGTCTTGGCATTCCCGCCCAGCGAGTCCTTGAGGATCCTGAGGACACCAGGCAGACGCATCAGAGACATCACTGAGCCAGAGCCAAGGTCCCCACCCCACACAGGGCCTGATCCTCCCTCCGCATCGACTTAGTGCCCAGAAGCCGGAGGACCACCCACCAGCCACTGCCTCCCCAGGCCCCATCCTGGAGGCCACCTAGCAGCCATAACGGACAGAGCGACCCTCGGGGCCCCTTTTCCCTGGGCTCACCGGGTGATCTTGGAGTCCCGGTAGGGGATGTGGCTGCCACGGCGCTGGGGGTCACCCAAGGCACTGATGACGTTGCCCAGAGCCAGGAGGCTGCTGTTGATCTGGATGCTCTCCTTCAGGCGCTCACCTGTGCTGCCCGTCTTGAGCACGCGCTCAGAGCCGGCCAGGTCCACGAAGTGGAACTTGGAGACGAGCAGCTGGCCCGGGGCCTGGCGCGGCAGGCGGCTTGGGGTGCGCCCCCGCTGCTCCAGGGTCACGGTGAAAACCGTGTGTGAGCGGCTGGACAGGCGGTTGAGGTGCGTGGCTCCCGTGTGCCGTGCCGCGTTGCCCATCTCTAGGACGCTCAGCACCTCGTCCAGGCCCTCCACGTCCACCTCCTTCACCCCACACAGCACTGCGGGCACAGGAGGCAGTGAGCCCAGGGCTGGGGCAGCCTGGGGCAGCCTGGGGCAGCCTGGGGCGGACCGGCCCTCAGCAGCTCTTCCCCACTAGGGTGGCCCTTCCCCATGTCCAGGGGGTCCCGCCCATCTGGTTTGAGCTGGAGGAGCTCCAGCTTGCCCCATGCCCGCCTCAATGCCTCTTGCTCTGGGTGCAGGATACGTCAAAGTCAGCGGGGAGGGTGAAACCAAAACCTTCCAGAGCTTGGGTTTCCCACTTGGGAGGTGTCCCTCCCACACAGGTGAGCCACCCTGCAGCAGGTGAAGCTTCAAGCCAAGAGCCCCACTCCCAGCCAGTGGAGGACTCGGGATTTCCTCACCCACATTCCCACGGTCGTCCTCCCGCAGCTGGATGTCTCGGCTGGCGGTGCCGGCCTCGAGCAGGTCTCGGAACTCCTCCTTGTACACTTCCAGGTAGGACACGTGCACCAGGCAGTCAAGCAGATCATTCTCATCGATCAGCTTGAAGGCCTCGGCCATGGCCCGTGGGATGATGCCCTGCTCGTCCTCGTGGAGGGAGGCTGGGGAGACACCGCAGGGCCCCCTGCCACCGTGCCTTCAGCTGCAGGGTGGGGCTCGTGTGGAGGAGGCAGCCGCGCAAGGCCAGGATGGGCATGCTCCAGGGTGGTCAGGCAGAATCACAGAATTTCAGAGTTGGAAGCAAACTTTCCTGGGTCAGCCAACCCCTTTCAATATGTGAGCGTCCCCTCCGCTACATCCCTGCCAGGTGGTCAGATACCCTTGGCTTGACTACGCCCCGGGACAGGGAGCTCACTGCCATGGTCTCTGCTCAGTTATCTAACGGACCTCCTAAATTTATTCCAAGGAAGGAAGAAGTGGAGCAGCACTCTTTCTCCTAACTTCAGAAAATACAAACATCCCAAGTGTCCATCCTAATAGCCAATAGGGGAATCTGGTTAAATAAATTATATTCACAATGGAATGCCAAGCAGCCATTAAAAAATTAGATCGAAGAATGTTTAATGATAGAGAAACGTTCATGATATGTTAAAAAAAAATACAAAATAACGATGACAGCGTAAGCCCAAATTTTAAAAAAGTACAATTTTCAAAGCGAAAATCTGGAATGCCAACAAGATGAGTTATTTCTGAAAGGCAATTATCAAGTAAATTTTATTTTGTGAGTGTTGTTCTGTATTTTCCATGACAAACAAGTACACTTTTATGACCTAAGAGAAAACATTCGTGCTACTTAAAACAGGGCAGTTCCTTCGACTGGCCAAAGCATCTGTCCTGAACCCTGCTCCACGGCCTCACTACGTGCCAGAGCACGTCTCCCCCGGGACAGTCCCCATCCCGACCACTCTAGAACATAGATTCTTGACCCTCGGCAGCCATCCGGACAACCTCCAGAGACAAGCCAACTTCCTGTGCCCTTCCTGCCCGAGGTGCCCAGAACCACGCAGTGTAGCCGCATCTCCCTGGAGTCGAGAAGGTCATGCACTTCCAAGGACCCCTCCCTTCCTGCCTGGCCCGCTGATGTGGCTGGTCCCACCCTGGGCTGCGACCTGTTCAGGAAACTGCAGTCTCCCCTCGTCCCTCCCCTGGTATCCCCACCTTCAAAGCAAATGGCCGCAAGAGAGCAGAGCAGAAATCCAGGAGCCACAGAGGCCCCTCAACATGGGCCCGAGCAAGGTCACTCACCCACACTGGCCTCCCCCATGGTGTACGTCTTCCCGGAGCCTGTCTGGCCATAGGCGAAAACCGTGGCGTTGAAGCCCTGGAAGAAAGCCTCCAGGAGGGGCTGCACGCAGGCCTGGTACACGGCCTCCTGCCCGGCGTCCTCGTCCAGCACCACGGGGAAGCCGAAGCGGCGGTCCCGGCCCAGGGTGACACGACCCTGCCCGGGCTCCACCCTCAGGCAGCTCTGGTGCCCGTGCAGCAGCTCCTTGGGCAGCAGCGGCCGGACTCGCAGGGCCACCCTCACGGGGGCCTCCTCGGCCCCCGGAGGCCTCTGGGCCTCCAGCCCCATGTTGAGGAGGCGCTGCTCCAGGCCCTGTGGAGAGAGGAAGAGACATTGCCATAGGTACCTGTTCTCCAGGGGCTGAACTCACCCTGCAGGTGACCTGGAACCAGACCCTGCAGCCCCTGCCCTTGGAGGAGCGGGGGGCTGATCACAGTTCAGAGCACCCCCGTGCCCCAGCCCAGTGCCCACAACACAGTCCTGCACAGTAACATTTCATGGCTCTCAGCAGTGGCAAAACAAGGCCCTAACTCCTCCACTCGACACCCAAGGGCTTGTGGTCCAGCCGCATCCTCCCCCTGTGACTCCGTCACCTAGGAGACACGCGTGCATGCGTGCGCACACACAGAACCCCTTTCCCAGGACAGACTCGTAAACATGGACAATGGACTAGCGGTTACCAGAGATTAGGGGGAGAAGGGTGAGGTAGATGGGGTAAAGGGGGTCAAGTATGTGATGACAGAAAGAACTCTAACTATGGGCGGTGAACACACAATGGAAATATATATGGCTTAGTGTTTAAAAAAACTGAATAAAAACACACACAAAGAAAATTATGAGACATCAACCTAAAAATTTACATACAAAGTAATTACTGCCATTATATATAATGGTCAATTTCTTTTTTTAAATGAGGGCATAAGGAATACTATGTTACTATTAAAACAATTACTTCAAATATTATCTTGACACGTTAGAAATGATTGTTAGCCACAAAAAATAACTGGAATACAAACTGTATACTATATAATCTCAATGAAATGGAGACGTACACACATGGACGATCATATAATGTCTACGCCATGTTGACAGTGGTTATTGTGGGGATGCAGAATTGTCTAATTGACCAATTTTAATAAAATGTCGTTACCAGCCGAATTATATTAAAAAAAGCGAACCCTTTCCCTAACACCCACTAGGTTTTCCATAGCCTCTGCCTTTGTTACGTCACACCCTCTGCCCAACCTTCTTCAAAAGTCAACAGATCTCCCACCACCAAATCCTGTCAGTTCCATCTCTGAAATACACTCATTCCTCTGCTGTCTCCACAGGACATGCTCCAAGACGCCCAGTGGATGACTGAAAACACGGAGAGCACTGAGCCCTATCATGTATACATGCTGTTTACATGATCTCCCCATACATACATTCCGAGGATAAAGTTTAATTTATAAATTAGGCACAGTACGAGATAACAACACGTATCTCACAACAAAATAGATCGACTATAACATACTGTAATAAAAGGGATGTGAATGTGGTCACTCGTTTTGGGAGGACGCCTTGCTGAGGCCCTCGCACAGGCTCTGCTTTCCGGCAAAGCACGCTGCTGTCGATGAGAACACGCTCTCTGTTCCCGTCTCCCTCCCACACGTCACCCCTTTATCATCTTAGCCAGCGGCTCTCATGCACCGTGGCCCTGACTCTTGCTGTTTGAGGTGCGACAGCAAAACTAGCACAAATTTCTTTTTCCTTCCTCACAATTTCACAGAAGATTCGTTCTTACTATAGATCTTCCAACCTAAGCACATGATTATTATTTTTTCCTTCCTGATAATGCTGAGAACTTTCACCTTTCCACTTAAAGGAAGCACCTCAGGCCTTCTTCCCGTCAGCATGTAAATTGCCGGCATCACTACACTCTTGTGCTTTGGGGTCATTATGAAGTAAAATCAGGGTCACCTGAACACAAGCACTGCGCTACCACAACCGTCTACACAGGGGGCTCCCACGGCATGAAGGCACTTTATTTTCACCACAGGTAAACCTCCTTTATTAAACTACTTTCTTACACTTCACAGGTGTTTTGTTTTGTTTTGTTTTTTTTAACCAAACTGATTCACATCCGGGGTGAGCAAGACGTCGCAAGATTTCATTGTGCTACTCAGAATGGCACACAATTAAAACTTATCAATTGTCTTCTTCTGGAATTTTGCATTTAATATTTTCAGACCATGGCTAACTGTGGGTGACTGAAACTGCAAATAAGGGGGGGCTACTGTATATCTCAAGTTCTTCTGCTTCTCCCCATCCTATGCCAAAGCCCTGGTCCTGGCCACTAGCGTCTTGACAGGATGACCGTTACCAGCCCCTCACTGGTCTGTCTTCCAGGGCCCTGCTACACTGCAAGCAGGGGCATTTCTTAAAAAATGCAAGCGCCACTTTACACTCCCTGCTTAAACTTCCCCTAAAGAGGCTTCTCTCCGTCCTTGAGATTCTAAACCTTAACAGGAAAAAAACTTTAACGGGCCCTGTGTACCTGGACTCCTGCCATGCACCCCATCTTTCCTCATCTTTCTGTTTGCCACACTCACTGCTGCTCAAGCCTCCCCCCACTCCCAGGCTGAGGCTGGCCCCATTTTCTTGAAGGAGCCAAAAAGTACCCCTGTTCTGAGCCGCTCCACACACGCGCACACACACACAGCCCGCGGGCTGCTGCCATCAACCACCAACCAGTCTGTTGCAATTGCCAGATTAGCAGTTGATCTCCCTGCACCTCCCACATTGGGAGCTGGGAGGCAGGGACCCGCCTGTCTCCTTCGTGCTATGTTTCCAGTGCCCAGCACAAGGTCTGACACTTAGTCACTGCCCAATAGCAACAGATAATCTTTATTAAAGGAACGTCCCCTCACGGCAGCCCTCACTGCCCCTTTCTTGGGCCCTGGGCACTGTATTTTTCACCACAGGTCAGTCTCATTTACTGCACGTCACTTCATGGCACTTCACAGGTGTAGTTCGTTTTGCGAACTGACAGCAAGACCCTCTACCAGCCAGATTATGACTGCCATTACTGAAGTGCCCAGAGCCACGCATTGCTCACGTGTTAGTAGTGATGCTGGTGTAAATGAGCTTACTGCCCCACCAGTCGGATGAAGTATATAGCACGTGCGATTACGTAGGGCACGTGACACTTGATAACGTACTGCTTTATGTATTTGCTCCACTTTTAATCCTTAGTGTGTTCTTTCTACTTATAAAAACACAGTTCCTCGTGCAACGGTACACTGTCACACAGGGCAGCCTCACACGTCACGTGTTCATGGGTCTCTTGATTCATTTTCTCCTGTGCTTGATTTAATCTATTTTGTGCAGTGGCAGGATGTGCCACGGAGCCTAGTGTGCAGTAGGCTGTGCCGTCCAAGTGTAAGTGCCCTGTGATGGTCCCCAATGAGGACGCCATCACTAGGGCATTTCACAGCAACAACTTGACTGTATTTAACTTCTCTCAGGAGATAAAACGGTTTTTTCATTAACTGAATCATTCAGTCCCTGCTGGGTGCCCCGCCCTGGGGACACAGAGGTGGCAGCCCCGCTCAGCCAGACACCTCAGCCCCACTACGGTCCCGGATTCTTCGCGCCTCGAAGGCGCCCAGACACCTCCACCCTTGCGGTCGGGCGCGGACCGCGGGGTCGGAAGCCCGAGGCTGGAGCTTCGGAAAAGTTCAAAGGGGTCACAAAACGCAGACCCGACCCTTGCAGGGAGGCGATGCCTCTTCCAGGCCAGGCCCGCGATGTCCGTCTCAGGCCCCCGACTTGGGAAACAGGGGATCCCGCCTGCTCAGGAAGGAGCCTCCAGGAGGCTGGTGAGCAAGGGCTGGGGCTCCTCGTGTGGATCCGGGGCACCCCGCGACCGACCCACCCCCCGACCCGGTCCTCGCCGTCCACCCCTCCCGGGCCCACACTCACCTGCTGAGGCGTCAGAAGCTCCCCAGCCCTGCAGTCAGGAGCCCCCGCCCGGCCCGGCCCCTC